TGTCCCAGGGAATCTAATGCATGGGCTACTGAGTGATTCAAATATTTTTGTAGAATCACATAATCTGAAGAAATCTTTACAGTCTTACAGACTTTGTTACAATGTTGTAAATGTTGAAAATGCTATAATTCCAAGCTTGCAATTTAGTGTTTATTATTAGTATTTCAAACTATTCTAGTTTTTCAGCACATGCCTTCATTTTCTAGCAAAAGTGTTGAAACTTAGAGTCACATTATTGCAGTAAAATTTAAACCTGTCACTGGAAATTTTAAATATTTATTGTAAATATTACAAATTTTGTGTTTATATTAATATTTTAAGAATATATTTGAAATATATATATATTTTATAATTAAAATGATAAATTATTAGTTATATTTTGTGGTGGTACCAGTTACAATGTTAAAAGGAAAAGGAAAAATTTTTTTTTTGGAGTAATACTGAGAAGCATAAGAAGCTCTTTTTACATCCACAGCAGGCTCTCATTATTCCTCACTATACTGTGCTGTTCAAGACATATCTCAAAGCTCTCAACTTTACATTCAAACTGATTGATTCACATAATAAGGATGTTTCATTACCTGAAAGGTCACAGAATATTTGGTAGGCTGTAATGAGCTTCAAATATTCATACTGTGTAAAGTGATTTGCAACATTTTGTCGCCCCACAGTGTCATTCTCCAGTGGATTTTATTCCACCAGAGCTGACAGCAGTTGGGTGAGTCAGTGCAGCAGTGCTTAGCAGACCTGCAGGGCTTAGGAAGCCTATCTAACTTTGGGGCACTTAAGAAAGAAATTAGAGACCAGTCGCTGCTGCACATTCTCACAATCAAAAAATTCTGGAAAAATTAGTGTCCCCTGATAACTTGTAGGCACACAGGCTGTGGAAATAGTATTTCAAATTACTTTAATTTTCTGCAGGGCTTATTCACATCAAGAAGAAAATTTTTTATTTTTAATATTAATATTTTTATATTTTTATTTTAATATCTTGCATTAAGGTTGTGAAGTTACATTAAATTATTATCTTGCATTTAACTCTTGTATTAGGTTGAAAATCAGGGTCATTAGGTCACAGGATCAGATTGATTCTGACTTTGGATTCAATAAAATTAATAAACAAAAATAAATAAATCACACTATATGATAAAAAAATCTGGGAAAACATTAATACATCTAACAAATGAAAAAAATTTTAACAGTTTTTTTTTTAAATAAACTGTGAATATTATTAACAGTATTGCAACTATTTAAAAAAAAAATTTCATTTTAAACAGAAGAAGTGTGTGCTTTCCTGAAGCTCAAACAGCGCGTGGCACTTTCCAGCAAACTGCGCATGCATAAATTGATACAAATGTACACTTTGGATAGAAGTGTCTGACAAATGCATAAATGTAAATATAAATTCCCTCAGAAGCAGAGAAAATGACGTAACAAAATACATCAAAAAATGTTTTTATTTCAGGTCTGTGCAGCTGCCTTTAAAGATGAAATATGAGGGTCAAACTGACCTGCAAACATAATAATCATAATAGAAATTATGTACATACACACTCCACAATGCATTGGAGTGTCGACACTTTGCAGACACATTGATGACCCTAAATGAGGAAAAGTCCCAAAATGTCAAGAATAAAATAATAGGTTAAGCAGTATTTCGAAACAACTCAAAAATCGTAATGAGTCAAAATGACCTGCAATATAAGCATGCGAATGAGAGTGCTTTTGGTTAGCTTTCTCATTCCGTCCTTGGTATAAACAGACCTTTAGTCTCACAATTAGTAGGTTCATCTTCCTGTTGGCCCACACTCATTGGCTATGTTTACATGCACAATTTTTGGTTCAATCAGACTGAATTCATTCCGATTAATGAATCTGAATGTAGTGTTTACATGAACGGTAAATAAAGTGATCGGGCTGATGTGCGCGTTTATTCGTCACAAGCTTCAAATCGTAATTGATTTTTTTTCTGACATGCGCACACTGCACAAATATAGAGTTTCTCATTGTTTGCACATAACCACTCTCCAACACGGTTTCTTTACTTGTTTTGAACAGCAGAATTAATATGTATCCATTTATGGATAAATATACATATAAACCGCTGTGCTGCTCATATTTATCACACAGTAAAAATGGAGGAGAATCTAAAACAAGGACTGGTGGGAGGTTGTCCTGCTCCACTTCACAGTTGCCGAGTGAAACGAGAGTTTTATAATGACAGGACACGAATTTATACAACACTTTATTCAAAAGGAAGAACCGTTCATTCCACGCGTCATACGTCATTACGCTATTTCTGCATCATTGCACATGCGCAGTCCTTTCAGTTTCGGGGTTCAATCCGATCAAGTGTTTACATGCACTCTCAATCGTATTAGAAAAGGAATAAACCACCCCCTTCAATCCGATCAAAATTTCATTCCGATCGAGCTCAATCGGATCGATTAAGGTGTTTACATGAAGGCTTTTCAGTCCGATTGAGCCGTCAATCCGATTACAAACAGATTATTTGGTTGCATATAAACGTAGCCATTGAGAGCTGCAGTATCCCTGCAGATATATTGTTTGGTAATTTTACCCACACCTGACATTCTCCCTCTGCATTTTTACATAGCTACAACAACTAAAAATTGATAGAGGGCTCCCTCAGCTTCAGAATACACTACAGCCAGGACTCGTCCAACATATTCCAAGTGGAACCTGAAATTGTTGTCCAAACTGGACTTGTCATTCTCCTTTTGGGCTTCTATTGGCAGCAACAACAGCCATCCTTACTCAACAGATAAGGCCGCCTCTAGGCTTTTGGCTAATAGCCCCTACTCAAACCCACTGAATACCATTCCAGCAGGTGAATTGCAACCTGACATCACCAGTTTTTTTTTTTTCATTAAAAACAGATGCCCTGAATTTAATTCTGCCCAAAACTGCTTTCAAAAATACTGTCTACCATCTTCACCGGCATCCCTGGGGTGATACATGGCATAATATCTCCATTCCATGGCAATATACAACCTTTCAGTGACAAACATGTCCTCTTTATGGCCGAGGGACATGATGCCCACCTGCCCAACACAGCTTACTTCCTTTCACGCTACTACCTACACTTCCTCCCCCAGCACTTACCCCGCTGTGTGAGTTATTGAGAAAAGATGCACCATGGGCTCGGACACCTGCCTGCTCAGCGGCTGGGCTGGTGGCAGCTCTGCTATCAGACAGTTCAATGCTTCTAGAGCAACACTTATAAGTAAAGTGTAGGTTTTGTAAAAATCGTGTGCACGGTTAGCTCTATTAACAAAAGGACAATGAGGTCAGTGAATGTGGTTAAACATGTAACTGTGACTCTCAATAGCTGTGGTCTTCTCTTATTTCTTCATAAACTGAAAGGTAATATGAAATCAGCGACCCAGTCTGCTTGCATCTATGTGTTGTTTTTGGATTATTTCCTGAGCATGGGCGTGAAGCTGAAATAACATTTAAAGAGCCAAGCTGGATCAGATCACAGGGTGTATGCTCATGAACCTGTCAATGAGTAGATAGACCATCATACCCAATGTCAGTGTCAGAAACTGCTTCCCTTTATCTATTCTATAAGGTATCAGGCATCGACACGTTAGTAGTCTTTCTTTGGTTTGCACTGTCATTCAGTGTTAATTAATATATATTTATGATGATGACCTTGTAAGGGCATTGAAGATCGCAGATGATAAAGATGGAGTGCTTTGAATAAACATGCAAGAAAACGCACCTGATTCACTCATCATGTTACAAATATATGGTTGACAAATTGAAGTGCATATATAAATGAACTAGCTTGCACAGAATCACTGCACAGTATTAATGTCATGTCAGGTAGCGACTGATAAAAAGAATAGTAGTACACAATAACTTCATTGTATCACTGTGGGTTCAACAGGAAACAACAGTGTTCACAGGTAAAGTAACTTACTTTCTGTAATATTTGCATACATTTGCAAACTTGAACTCAACAGGAATTAATTAAGTGATAAATACGTAGGATTTTGAGCTTATGCACAAAACAGAAAGGAAAACACATTTTTTTCCCTTTACAATTTCAAACTTAAAATATATACAGTGGTGTGAAAAAGTGTTGGCCCCCTTCCTGTTTACATGTAACTCGTAATTGCATGTTACGCTTAGAAGATTCATTTGAAAAACAAAAACAAAAATCGTTTATGAATGTAAGTTATTGGAAACGTAATCATTCAAATCAGTAGTAGCCTACCATATTTAGAACCATATCTGTCATTTTAAAAAACAACATGATAATATTAGTTTATGAATACTGAATAATTCACTGCGTAATGCAGTGCATGACATATGTCGGCGTTCAAGCGTTCGTTATTATAAATTAACATGTTATAAAAGCTAATTTACCTGGGGTTTCCCCCCCTCATTCTGACCTTTGCCTCTCCGAAAATAAATAGCCCATAATTCAAAGGCACCCCATGTCGGATTCATTGCATTTCTGTCTCTGAAAAAAGTCAATCCGAAACCTAAATGTTTCCCGTCATAGTAGTGGGATTTATAGGGGTGGGCCGAATGACTCAACGTAAAACTTGGTTAAACTAATTTTCTTTTTTCCCCATCAAGCAATTTTCCTCAAGAATCCCAAATAATAGTCTTCTACACGGATTTACTGCAACGAATCCACGAGCATCGAGTGCCCATAAATAAGTATCTCCGTGAACATAATCGGACCGCAAGTTCCGTACTGTCTGTGACTTCTCAGCCAGCAGATGAATCTACATTAAAATGCCCACTTTTAAATACACGCTGACCTTAGTATCACACTCCACAGCGGTGGATTAAACGGCACGATCGCGCGATGATACACTTCAGTATATTCACGGTTCCACTTTCAAGGACACTGCAGCTCACACTCATACAATTACACACACAACACAGATAAGCGACATAAATGAGCGTTTTCCGCCGGCCCGATCAGCTGACGCCACCGCTTATGAAGAGGGCTTTACCTTTTTACTGGTTCTGCTAGTATAGCCGTTATATGGGTTGATTCCTGTCCTCGGCGGCACAGAGAGCAGCATTTTTACAGCAGCAGCAGCAGCAGCAGCAGCAGCGCTGTGTCCGGAGCGCCTAGTACAGCCAAGAGTCAGCTGACGTCACCGGGGACATTCAGCCTGGAGTCTGTGGAAGAGATCGAGTCGCTTACACACACGCACACACACACACACACACACACACTGCTGTTCATTAGCACAAAGGAAGAAAACAGCAACAGAATACGCTATTCTCCTCTAAATGGTATTGAAAGCTATACTCCCTTATAAAATGAAAGAGTTTTGATTTCATATGAACTTTTTCTTTTTTTAAACAATAATGGAAGAAATCAACCGAAAGATCCATTCTTGAACTTTCTGGAAATCTATGCTGAATTTTCCCAGCTGCACAAACACTATTAAATATGATATTCACTGGTTATATATGCACCTCTGGGAACTGGACACTTATAAATTCAGATGTATTCTGTATTGTGATGCTCAGTAAAAGCACTAGCAAATGTAAGTGATTGGTCCACCACAAGTAGGGTGCAGTACGCTACAAAAATGAATAATATTGTGATTTAAAAGAAATTGTTTTCTATCAGAATATATTTTAAAATGAAATGTATTTCTGTGATGGCAAAGCTGAATTTTCAGCAGTCATTACTCCAGTCACATGATCCTTAACATATCATTCTAATATGCTGATTTGGTGCTCATTATTCCAGACTTTTGAATGATGTGCGCAAGTTATGAATTTGATCAAATATGCAGCCACTGAAATGACTCCCATAATCCCCGAAACACTATCAACAAATTTTTGGGGAGTTTCTTACAACCACACCTGCCATTTAGCTATTTTTCTTATTACAGTGTAGGCAAAGGAACACCATGTTGCCAGCAAAGCCCAAAAGACACTTGGGATCATGAGTCAGCCAGCAGCAAAAACCCAGTCATACACCACTAAGTCATCTCCTCCAGCATCACAGCAACAGCAGAGGAGCCGCCAGTGTTTATCTGAAGTCAGATGAGTGGCTAATGTAGGAGGATAGTTGTTTAAACTATCCTTTGTTTGGCCACTGCAGATGAAATCTCTTTGCTTCCAGTGCTCTGTCTACAGGTCTCTGGCATTTTGCATTTGTTTATGTTTAGATAAGAGCTACATGCTACATTCCTATGGTGTTGGTACAGTGTTTAATATGTAGAGACATATTTACACTTTCTGGATATTTTAATGATTAAAGCCTTGTTGGGTATTCTCAAAGAGTCAAAACAGGATTGGAAATGTATATCCATATTCGGAAATGATTTATGATTTGCCAAGAGTTCAGTTCAGTTTAGTCTTGCAGTTCATTTGATTTATGACATTTCAGCTTGGGTAATATTAGGAAATTCGGTTCTAAACAGAATAATAAGGGTTTCCAAGCCCGTTAGCTGTCCTGGACAAATGAAGGTCACTGAGCTAATGATTTGCATATGTACACGAGATAAACAGTTTGGCCTTCCACAGTGCAAATCGAACATCAGATAGATACTTACAAACACCCTCTGAAAAAAAATATTATTATTAATTATATATAAATATTCATATAAATATATGAATTAATACTATATATTTTAAAATTGAATTTATTCTTGTGATGGCAAAGCTGAATTTTCAGCAGCCATTACTCCAGTCTTCAGTGTCACATGATCCATCAAAAATCACTTTAATATGCTGATTTGCTGCTCAAGAAACATTTCTTAATATTATCAGTGTTGAAAACAGCTGCGTAATGTTTTTGTGGAAATTGTGATATTTTTTTCAGGATTCTTTGTTGTTTAAAAGAGTAGCATTATGAAAGAAATGAAATAAATATTTTGTAAATCTGTTGTTATAAATGTGTATAAAGTCACTTTTGATAAATGTAATGCGTCCGTCCTAAGAGAAAAAAAATATATTGGCTGAAAATTTTTTTTGTAGTGACTCCCAAATTTTGCATGGTATGTATGATAATATATTTTATATAATTGTAATAATTTTCCCCCCCAATATATTTCCAAGTATATAAATAATAATAACAATAGTAAAACATTATATTCAATCAAATTTATCTAATTTCTCAGTTTGACTCTTTCCATTATAAATATTTTTTCTGGGCGACTCTATTAGCAAAAGTAGTAAACAACACATATACAATGTCTGTACATATATAAATATTACATGCATTTAAAATAAAATTGACAATGGCATAATAAATGATGGCAGCACAACATTTCAATTAATCACCAGCTTTTTTACATGCCTAAAGCAAATAAGTATGAAATCTTGATCAGATACTGAGAGAGGGAGCTGGAGAATGAAGTCTCGATGGGGGTTGGGAATATCTTTGGTGTTTGCACATACCTTGAATTCTTCAGGTGTTGTCAGCATGGCCCTTGTGGTAATTATCACCCTGAGGAAGCCTGACTCACTTCCCTACCTGCTATTTAGGACGTCTTCCTTTGAAGGAAATACCTTTTTTGGACAGAAAGATCATGCATTGTTACCTCTAGGATGCCCACGTTCAACTTTTGTTGTAAACTTTCAGGATTCCCATACTTTGTTGCAAAGATTTTGTTTTAACACAAACAGGGACACCGCAACGATATCTTTCCAGTGTCACCATTGGCAAATGCAATCACATTCTGAGTTCAGTGGCATCTGCAGTGCAGAGCTGGGAGATTCACAGGCCTGATTTATGCAACTATCCATCTTCGCTCAAGGCTGAGGGCCAGAGCAGTAATGTTGGCCTCGCAGACATCCCACAGTCCAAGATGTGTGATGTAATTTACCCAATGTTCACACGCATACACAAACACAAACACACACTAGAGAAAAGGTCTCTATTGCTGCCAATTATTCATAGCACTCTCACACATTATGTTGATGCTCAAAGGTAACAGAAGCAAGCTCAATGCAGCAAGGCAATATGAGCTATAACTGAGCCATCAAGTATTCAGCTCTATTTCCCAGCTAGAAACTCATTTCATATACATACATAAAGCAAACTAGATGCATGTATGCAAAATAGCTTGATAACCAAATCATCAGGGAGTGATTCAATTCAATAAATCTTTACATGGACCATTTGTAATTTCATCTCTTGTAGTCCTGACTGTCTGCAGCAGGTTGGTGGAGTCTGGGAACGCAGTCCATTCCTCCCCCATCCCCCCCCCCCATTGTAACCAGCTCAGTCTCAAGCGCTGTGGATGGTGAAGGCGGGGGATTGTGTGCAGATGTGCTTGGAGAGTGGCCAGGCGCTTTGCCCTGAGAGAACATGTGGTCTGGGACTGTTTACGCTGGCACTGTCTCAAATCAACCCCCACACAACATGCTAGGCCTCACAGGACACCACACACACACACACACACACACACACACATAGATCTCTTTCCCCTGCTGCTGCACAGGAGCCATTCTGCTAACTGAGCGACATCAGTCTTCATGTCAATTGTTGAACGTGAGGTGCATTCATTCACAGAAATAAAGCAAATATATTTTAAGTAATAAGACTTAGTTTTGTTAAAGTTGGCATGAAGTGAAAATTAACCTTATTTTCTAAATGTATGTTATACATCTTATTCGTCCCCTTGGAATTATAAGGTTCTATCTGCATTCCGAGTAGTTTTGAGATATTGAGCTTCAAAGTTTTTGCATTCCATTCGACTGTGTAGATAGAACTTTTTTGTTTTTTAAATAAAAAGTCCCAAAATGTACACAACATTAAAAAATCTATTACATAATGTAAATAAGATGTCACAGAATAAGAATATGTGAATAACTCAATTTTGACAAAAATGTCATATAGAACCTTATAATTCCAAGGGGACGTATTGTGAACAATTCAACCATGTATGTTTTTTTTTTTGTTTTTTTTTAGGTCATAAGTTTTAATCAATATATCATAACTGGATGTTCTCTGGTGACATATGCAGGATTTCTCCAATCAAATAATTCAGTTCACTTAAACCCTGCCCTTTTTGAGTGAAAATCCCTCATATCAAAATCCAACCAACAACTGATGGATAGAACCAAGTCCCCGCCTAGTTTATGTTCATGCTGCTCTTTTCCATTCTATAAAAGTGGATGGTGACCACGGTTGTTCAAGTACCAAAAAGGAAAAAAAGGCACAATAAAATTTGTCATGCTGTATTAGATGTTTTTAATTTAGATTTGACATTTTTATGTAAATTTATTCATGACTGTATTTTTGATTGCTGCATTTTACTCTTAAATCTCATTCACATATGCATATTATATATTTAAAAATATGTAACATCAAAATGTGTCGTACCAGATTTGACGCCAGTGATGACATATTTTATTGGTTCTACTGTGACTTGATCACAATATGCCACATTTTAATATGCACATATTCAGATTGCACAAATAACATTTCAGAGAAGTGTAGTTAAAGGACTTACATTTCTATTATTTTACTTCACAAGAATGAAGATGTATTGTGGTATTTTGGGGATTTTGTTTTGGATTTGTGTCACTTTTGTAGCTTGGCAGTCCCTGGTTACCATTCAGTTTCATTATATGGGAGCAGCTTGGGAACATCCTGCTTAAAGGAATAGTTCACCCAAAAATTTGAATTAGCTGAAAATGTACTCATCCTCATGCCATTCAAGATGTAGATGAGTTTGCTTCTTCATAAGAACAGATTTGGAGAAATTTAGCATTTCATCACTTGCTCACCAACAGATCCTCCGCAGTGAAGGGGTGCCTTCAGAATAGGAGTTCGTAAAAGAAACTGAAGAAAACGTAAAAATAATCCACAAGTAATCCACACAACTGCAGTCCTTCAATTAACATCTTGTGAAGTAAAAAGCTACATGTTTGTAAGAAACAAATCCACCAGTAAGGCGTTTTACATCTCGGATGGCCTGAGGGTGAGTAAATTTTTAGCAAATTTTTATTTTTTGAGTGAACTATTCCTTTATAAACAATTCCTTTTTTGTGTGAAAGAAAATTGAGTTTGGAAAACATCAGGGTTCAGCCTTATTTTTGTGTGAACTATCCCTTTAATGAAACTCTTGGATGAGACCAGATGTTTTGATGTAGGATGGCATAATAACCCACAGATTCATATGGCTCAAGATGACAAATCTAA